GTCATCTTGACATAGATGACAAATATTTAAATAGCATATTGCAGAATATAATGGAGGAATGAATCAAAAGAGCAGTACACTACAGCAAAACAGACTTTATTAGAAGAATAAAAGAGCAGTTCCATACCAGGAAGCCTAGCTACATATTGATTACATTAAAAATTAAAGGATAAAACCCCCTGAGCATTATCAATAGAGTATGAGAGGAAATCAGATAAATATCTAGTGACCAATGCAAGTGTAACTCTTAGCAAAATAGGAACAGTAAACTATTTTAATAATAAAGGTAAGCGACCAGGCAACACCATTATAAATGACAAAAATTAAACTTTTTAACTAAAATCAAGTGTCACATTTACATCGGTGCTTAAAGCAATCATAAATAAAACAACTTGTATAAATGTCAGAAAAGAATATAAATCTCTTGAAAATGATCATATACCTGTTTTCTTTGAAATCCAAGAAACTCTCATGAAAAGGCAAATAAAAGCATTTGATACATTGAATGAATGCAAAATAAATTGTTGAAATCACCAACCTTTCACTAGTCAGGCAAAATTACTTAGAAAAGGATATAGAAATAGCATTTGATTCAGAAGACAAACACTAAAATAATTTGATATAAGTTTGGTAATAAAGAAGCAGGATACAGTATATGAGCAAAACTGTAAAAATATTATTAGGAGATGTGAAACAAAATATAAACAAATGGAAAAGCTATCATATTTTTTTGGATAAGGTGACTTAATATTATAGTGCTAACTCTCAAAAATTAATGCATAAATCTATGCAGTTCTAATAGTCTTTTTTCTCTGACATAAATGCCATATAATAACTGAAAAGGGCTTAAGTTGTCTACATACAACAGTGTACAGTGTCTATAGCAGTAATTATCAATAATTTTAATCTTTAATTGATTTCCATATGTGTTTGTTGGGATCAACCTAACTACTATATATAACCATAAAGCTCTACAATAAGAAAAAGTCTTTAACTTGGAGCTTCATAAAGCCTTGTTGAGAATCACTGAAACAACACTACAGAAAGGTTCTAAAGACTTGAATAAAAGCATTTCTATTGGGGATGAAGTTGTGGTAGAGTGCTCACCTAGCACGTGCGATGCCCTGGTTTGATCCTCAGCACCACATATAAATAAAATAAAGGTATTGTGTCCAACTACAACTAAAAATAAATAATAAAAACAGTTCTATACAACAAATGTCAAATTATATATAATAGGTTTTAAATATCCATCTCCCATTTCCTGCTCCATAAATGGTGGAGTTAAGATTAAGTCTAGGAGGCTGTATTTTTTTTTTTTTTGAGTCCACATTGCTCTTGTCCTGTAGGATGTAGTCAAACTTGATTGATGGATTGTGTGTTAGAGTCACCTATGAACCTTCATAAGAATATCAACTCAGGATTTCATCTGAGTTCCTTCATTCAGAATCTGCAGCAAGAGTTATAGGAATCATAGGCAAAGTTTATGCTGTAATGATCACTTCTATCAAGATCACTTTTCTGATTGCAGAAATCTAGAAAAGGGCACTCAAAGTTTCCACTAGAGGATGGCCATTTAAATCTTCTTTGTGAGAAATGACTCATTTTCTTTTAGAAATGAGTGTTGAAAATGAATTTACAAAATACATACATATCAATTTTTAATTAGAGAAATCTGCAATGTACACCCTGCTTTCTTATATCAGGAAGCAGTAAAAAATATGTTGACAGGAACGGTTTGTGTTTAAAACCATATTTGGCTCTTTTTAGTTTACCTGGTGAAACTCTTAATTTGTTCATCTATAAAATGCACATGATAACAGTATTTACTTTGCATGATAATCACACCTAAAATGCACAAATTCTTTAGTAAGTTTTAGCTAAAAGTAGACAAGCAGAAGCGCTATTAATCTCCTAAACAAGAGTTATTTGAAATAATGTTAATCATAATACATGTCTCAACATGAGGCTAACATATAGTAGATACTTAACAAATATTCTTGAATCAAGGTTCAACATTGTATGATTTATAATGAAGTTTTATCAAAGCCATTAAGTATTCTTTTTCTGATTTATTATTGGTATCATTTCAATGAAATATTTTCCAACATCCCCAAGTCATGCTACTTTGTGAATACAAATGAATTCACCTTAATATTCAGTGTCTAAATCAAGTTTAACAATCAGCTTAAGTAATAATTATTCCTCCCACCCAGGTGCCCTCATACATCACAGGAAATCCTCAGCTACGTGTCCAAGGTGCTCAGGAACAATTCTACTCCTTCTCTTCACTACTGTCGGATTCGAGTCATTTCCTTGACCTTGTATTGGTCACAGTGTCCTTCCTGAGAATATGCCCTTGCTGGGCAGAGTAGTTCTTTATTGGTGTCAAGGCTGCATAGAGATCTATGGCAGACTAGTGGACACAATGGCTCTGGGCTATAATACTTGGTCACTCAACTCGTAGTAAGCAGTTAATAGACTGGAAAACTCACAAATTATATATAGTAGGTTTTAAATATCCAAAGTATTTGTGAAAATGATTCCTCAGCTTCTGGACCTACTGTCTTTCCTTAGGGAGCTCAAAACAATTTGAAGACTCTGAGGGAGAGCAGAGACTTTAGGTACCATGCAATCAGGTCCCTCCATTCTTTTTGACCGTTTTTCAAGGCTACCATCACAAAAATTCTATTCTTCCTTTATTCAGAAACGTAAGTTCTAAGCATGTCACCCATAAAATAGATGGCTAAAAATGACATCAGTTCATCAGATCCATAAATGATAAGTTGTAAATCCCATCTTGGTTTTAGGTGGATCACTCAAGGCCTCATCTTCCTTCCTATACTCTACCATCCAGCATCTGACATAAGGCCCTAATTGAAAAGGCATCTTGTCAGCCCTTGCTCTGTTCATGTCATTGTCTTTGAAAGCGAAATAAGTGCTCATGGAGAGAAGAATCACATTTCTGAGATTGAGTCATTTGGCCCACAGTCGAGCTGCCTGGCTTCTCTGGGGACCTAGTGCTCTGTCTCCTCAGCAACATGGAGCTCTGGGGATTTCTGTTGTGCTGGGATTGACGTGTGAACACTGACAATAACAGTTTAGATAACAATAATAACACACCATACAGAAACAATTTAATCTTATTCTTGATTTCTGAAAAAGTTTTCTTGAGAAAATGTGAGAGTTGTTAGTGCCCTGTTAACCTGTTGCTTTTTTTTCTTGAAATTTTGGTAAGGTGCATGAAGAACCATGAGAGTAGTTTTGTTGTAAAACTCTTGCTCCTTTCTGGGATTGGAAGAATGATAGCATAATATGGTTGAAGTGCAGCATAAAGTGTCATCTAGTACATCTACTGTAAATGATCATGTAAGACTGATTAATGGGAATGCAATGGAGAATTGCTCCTCATCTCACTTGATCCTAGCAATGCATTGCTGACATTGATGTTTCAGTCTAATTCTGGGTGAAGTCCAGGCTTTTCTTTCTAATTCCTATTTCTACATCAGGGTGATGTCTACCTTAGATACACCCAAGGTCTCATCTCTGTACTATAAAACCCATTTCTCACAAATGAAAGTTAAACAAATTCACATTAGGTGCCAATCACAGGTGTGATAAGGCTTAATATGTTCTCTCTCCTATAGACACTCTTGTGGAAAGGCATTAGGTGAGAAGACTAGGCAGCAAAGTCTTCTCTTCCACTTATAGTCTATGAGAGTTTAACCCAGCACTACAAACTCTTGGGTCCAGTTCCCCCATGTAAGAATTAGGAAAAATGTTACCAATCTTACAGTTTTTAGAAGAATAATGAAGGGTCGAAATTGACAATACTCTCAGTACAATGTTTAGTTTATAGTAGATACTGAACTTATGTTGATTTACTCAAAATAGGACAAAACTTCAATCTTGAGAAAATTAAGTTGTAAAATTTCGTATTACTTGTGATGCATTTGAAAGGGCCTTCCCCCCCTTTTAATCACATTTTATAGATAACTATTAATTCTGCACTCACTTCTCTTTCTTTCTGTAAGGAAAATTGTACTGTACACTTGTTTTGATCTTTGCTATGGTCTGAAATGAACCTGTGTAAGTTTGGTTGCGAAAGGGGCCAGAACCACAAAAGTCCAAGGAATGTCATGTATGGGAGCTTTTCCCAGTTTCTATAAAGTTCATTTCATATTAAGGACATGATTGTCTCCGACTTCAGACATTAATATTTAACATGGTGAACAATGAACCTAAAATATTCCTGAATTTTTTTCCCTATAACCTTTTGTAGATCTCTAAATGGAAACAGAGTCCTAATCTTATACATTCCAACTGCTGCAATTCAACATCTTGCTTAGAACTAAGTGTGATTCACAACTCTTCCTCACCTTCCGGTAGGTGCCTTGTTTTTATTTTCTAACTTTCAACACGATCTTGGATACCCCTTTTATTCTTTTGCTTCAGAGATGCTTCGTTAAAGGATCTGACGAGCACCTTCAAAAATTCGAGATGCTCCACTGTCTTGTGGTGAGCTGTCGGTGATAAGCCGCACCATACAGGACCTGGTGCCACCGGGACTCAAGGTAGAGGTGGAGGTGGCACGCAGCGCGGCGCGCAGGCCAACGCCCTTTCGCATCTCCCTCGTAGGGGACAACGCCCAGGCGCTCCCGTTGCTAGGTCTTCTGTTTGCCGCGTTCTAAAGGAGCCCTGAGCGCGACCAAGGCTAAAGGGGAGGGGGGTGCCAGGAAAAGCTCGAACGCTGTCTTCAGTAAACCTCGAGGAGAAGCAGCGGCCCTTCCTGTGGTCCCTCCTGTCCCCAAGCCCCCACCGCGCTGGGGGCGTCGAGCTTTCCCCTTGTTTTTGGTCGCTCCCAGCATTCGCGGGCCCTCAGCGCCCTCTGCGCCCGCGCCTCTCAGTACGATGCGCACCCCCAGTCGCGGCGGGCTAATGGTCTGGCCCGTCGGTAGCCGCCACCCCCTTGGGCAGCTACAGCTGTTCCAGCGGCTCCCGGTTGAGCGCAAGAGTCCGGAGCCGTGGCTGCCGCGGGCGGTGGGCGGGCGGGGTATCACCGGACCACCAGCGAAGCTGCCCAGCAAGGGGCAGCCCCCGCCGGCCAGTGGCGGAGCGCGGGAGCCGCCGAGGGACCGCCCGCAGCGGAGTGGCGAGGACCGGCGCTGGGCTTTTCTCCACCCGGTGAGTACCTTCTGCCGCCATCCTTCCCGACCCCCTCCCACCGTCCCCTAACCCCGGAGGTCTCGGTCCCTACCATGCCCCCACCAGTGACCGTCCCCGGACTATGTCCTCGGCCGGAGACAGAGCGGGACAGAGAGCTGCTGCTGTCAGGCTAATGATTCAGCACCATTCGCTCTAGAGGTTTGGGAAGAATGGGGGAGGGGGAAGGGGACGAGGTCAGTTGCCGGTCTCACTTCAGTTTCTAGGCTCCCTATAGATGACCTGGGTAGGGTGAATAGAGAGGATCTCTGCTGGCTTGTTCTGTAATTCCGTGCTTTCCCCACAAGCTAGTGCAAACCTCCGTGAGTATGGGTGCATTCTGGAAAGTGTGTCAGATTAATGTCTTTTCCCCACATCCAAGTGAAGTATAGGGTCCTTGTAGGTACCTCTCGGTTTCTTTGCTTTTGTCTCCATTGGGTTCATGCCATCATTTATTTTATTTTATGCCACAGCATTTCTTCCACTAATGTGAAAGATGTCTTATCAAAGTTGTCTTGTATTCTGGGTGGGTTTGATTGGTCCTGGCACAGAAGGAAAAGATTTAAGGGAGGTAGGAAGTAATACTTTCATATCATAGGTTCTTACTTTTATATATAATATTTCACTAAGTCCTCACAACAACCCAGGAACAAATGTGGAAAGTGAGAAGCAGAGATGTTAAATTACATTCTCAAGGTCACAGAATAGGAATTTGAATTCAGGTCTCCCTAACTCCAAAGTCCATTGTTCTTACTGTACTAAACAGTAGTGGGTCCAAAGTGTACATATATATACACACTACTAGCTATTAAATATAGTGTTTTCATAGGAGTGATCTCAAACAATAGCACTAACCTGTAAACTTTCTGTATGTGGAATTATTGCTTTTTTAGTACAGAAGAACATTTTTCGTTCTTCATGTGTAAAAAAAATTGATTTTCTTAGAAAACATTTAGCAAAAAATAATATCTGAACAACATTGTAGAGGAGGGTTAGGTCATGATGGATGTTCAGCACATTTTTGGTAGTGAAATTTGGTGGGTGCCCATGGGGAAAGTCATGAAGAAATCATTAGGGCAATAAAAAGAAATCTGGAGTATTTTTTTTTTTAACTTTAGGTAACATTTTAAATAAAAGTGACCATTTGGTTCATGAGCCATGTGACATAATGACACACAAAAGAGTGACAGATATACCTAGACTCAGATCATGTTATTTGATTCATTACGGCTCTGTAATTTGACAGTAATAACTCCATTTTGTAAACTAAGGAACTGAAAAACAGAATGTTAAAAGAGTACTCAGTAAGTGGTGGAATGTGGACAAGGATTTACTCTTAGGTGCTACCTCTCTCAGTTAAAAAATATGTATGTAGTCATAAAACAGAGTTCCTTATAGTGCAACGTTGAATTGATTTGTTTTTGCCCTACCTTTCAGAGTCAACAATTATATTGACCTTGTATATGCCTTCTGTAAAAATAATGGATGTGATGTTCTTTTTTCTTTTTTGGTGGGTTATTTGATTTGCTTTCATTCATGATTATGGAGTTTCTCTTAAGATATGCAATCATGTTGATGTCTCAGGGAGCAGGTTGCTATAGGACAAATGTTTATTTTCTCTAAGTATCAGCATAGTATTTGATGGTAGATAGCAACATAGTCATTTAGTTTATCATTTCTAAAGTATTGAGCTATTTACATTGGCAAATTCTTTCTTAAGTTAGTGGGAGATTGATAACTAAAACCCACTGCCTACATAAGGACATAAAATGAGAACACGTATTCATATTTGTTGTTGAGACAAGACTGTAAGTGAGGTAGGGTCCTATATCTAGTCTTAAACTTGATTCCTAGGAGGTTATTTCTTTTTGTGTTTATGTGTCTATTGGCTATACACTGAACCTTGGTGAGGCATTTTGCAATCCAGTCTCTTGAATCCCAAGGGGACAACCAAATTGATTTGAATGAATAAGGAAAAATACAGCATCACTGCTGTTCAAAAAAAAAAAGGAAAATGCATGTCTTAGTGATGGATGGTCAGTAGCAACACTTAAAAAGGGAGACATCATGTTTTATTTAGATAACATCACTGAAAGTATGAATATAATATCAACCCGGCTTTAGAACTATACTTTCTGTCTTTCCCTGTGTATATCCAATTTCTGCTGTCAGCAGACCTTCTAAATTCCTGACTTAAGGAAATTAAAGTCTAGTTAGGGAGATATTTACTTAACACATAAGTAATTAACAACAAAATAACTTAGAATTGGCTTATTATTGGAAAGAAGTGGTACAGAATTAAGTGTTATAGCAACACCTTAGGAAAAATTAGAAATAGCAGAGGTTGGGGTGATCAGAGGATCAGCAAAGCCTTCATGAATGGAAGTGTATTAAACCAACCTCAGAACTGATAAGCATTTCCACAGGCAGGGAGAATGGGAGACAAAGGTTCATCTGAGAAATGCTCATCTATCGTTTGGATACATGGTGACAGATTATAAAGAACCTTGAATGTCTGATGTGAGATCTGTTTCTGATCTGGTAATAATGGAGAACTAGGGTAGATTTCTAAGCAGGTCAAGTTTTTCTTGCTCATGTTCTCCATATCCCTTGCCCCAAATCCCCTTCCAGAAATCCATATATTTCCTGATAGTAAAATAATTTGATATCAATTAAGTGAAGAAAAAGGTTTTTTTTTTTTTCCAAAAAAAAAGAAGAAGAAGAAAAAGAAAAAAGCTTTCCCTTCCAAAGAAATTTGCCTTTTTAAAAAAATGCCAAAATTGAATATGGGGGCAAGAAAGATGGGGGAATGAGATGGACATCATTACCCTAGGTACATGTAAGACTGCGCATATGGTGTGATGCTACATTGTGTATAACCAGAGAAATGAAAAGTTGTGCTGCATTTGTGTACAGAGAATCAAAATGCATTCTGCAGTCATATATACCTAATTAAAATAAATAAATTTATTAAAAAAAACAAATTATGAACAATCTAAAAACTTCAAGAATATGAAAAGGAAAAAAATTATCATAATCTTACTATGTAAAGACAACCATGATTAATATTTTGATTTTTTTTCCATGTATAGTTTTAATCATGGTATATTAATTACTTTTTTATATATATCTTAATTTGTTCTATTTAGATATACATGACAAGAGTATATTTTGACATATTATGTATACATGGAGTATAACTTAGGAGCCTACTCTTTTTTGGGGGGGTGGGGGTGGTACTGGGGATTGAACCCAGGGCCTTGTGCATGTGAGGCAAGCACTCTACCAACTGAGCTATATCCCCAGCCCTAGGAGCCTACTCTTGTCATTGTACTTGGTGTGGTGTTTTAGTGGTCGTGTATTCTTACACGAACATAGGAAAGTTATGTCCAAGTCATTCTACTGTCTTTCCTATTCCCATACACCTCCCTTCCCTTCATTCCCCTTTGTATATATATTTTAACTTTTAACTCTATAACATTAGTTTTCACTGAATAACAATTAGGCAGTAAACATTTAAAATGAATATAATCTTCTACTAGGTAGATGTACTAGAATTTCCTAATCATTCCTGTCACTATATTATTACATCTTTGTTCATAAAAATTCTTTAGGATAGTGTCTCTGGATATAGGGGTATGGATTCTTAGATTTAGACTAGTTTAAGCAAGTTTTGAAACTACTTCCATTTACTATATATATATATATATATATATATATATATACATATATGTATATATATATGTATATATACATATATATATGGAATATAGAATATTTGTATGTTAATATTTGAAGATACTCAATACCGTCTATAGCTCCTTAGATTATACTCTTTCAGGTAACCTCTTCTTTTGATTAGAAAGATTAACTAAATCATAGTAACTTAGAGAAAGGCGGGTAGTAGGGACTATAGAAGAGAGAAGCTGTTTTAAAGTGGGAGAACAGGTTTGGGGAAAGTGAGCAAGAATTTATAGTCTTAAACGGGCATACATGATCATTGATTTTCTGATCCTAGGCTTTTGTTAGAGGACCGTAACTTTAAATCTCCACCTCCCTTGTCCCACTACACACTGTACACCATATCTGTCTCCTTCAGACTTCAGCTTCTGTCCTCCTGTATCAGATTCTCAACTCTCCAGCTGCATTATTATCCTAGTAATTCAAGGCACAAATATGAGCTCACTCTTGCACTCTAATTTGGAGAATTCACATTGTTGATGATAAGAATTTGGGACCTCTGCCCAAATCTTAGCAGATACCCTGGGTACAAGGTACAAGGTACAAGGGTGTGTTTGGGAAGCACACTTGATGGACAATGCAGATTCCTGTCCCCTTCCTTAAGCACATTTGCCAAAAAATGACCTTTTTGAGAAGAGTGGCTACTTGGAGAGGCATAGCGTTCCTAACATCACCCCCAAGCATCCAGATACTCCCTTCTCCTTGTTTCCAATATCTCTTCACCAGAGAAAGTTCCCCTCATGTAGGAGAGACACTTGCCTCAGTTAATTCTGTTCTGGGGACATATGGCATTTGCTCCTTATCATGAGAAGGACAGGGACCCAGTGTTGGACATGTGCTTTGGTCAGACCCCTGACTTACTCTCCCAAGTTTTCACTGAGCTGCTTTTGGGACCTGTTTCCACTTACCTAGGGCTACAAGGATGAGAATCTCTTGAGGCGCATAGGCCGTTAAGTATCTCTGAGTACCAGTGAAAGGGATGTCACAGATATGAATGTACCTTGAGGGCACAATTGGGGAGCAGAGGCAGATTATTATAATATTCCATCATTCTTGGGGAAGCCTGTAAAGAAACAATGATAACAAAAACATCATGTTATAAACCTCAAACAGACCATTCTCCCCCTTTATCAAGTCCCAAGAGATGATTTCTGATGAAACTGGGCATTTGGTGGGCAGAGTACTTTAGATAGAATTTCTGCTGTGTTTATTTGAGACCCATTATTAAACAATTTGCTTAA